ATTTTCAGCTCTTCTTGATTCCTAGCTTTCTGTTCTTTTTGGCCATTCAGGTCCCCTGAACAGAAAGAACAAAATATCAAAGAATTGTCTTATCGGGGCGTTTTTATGATTTTCTGCTTATTACATACACATCACCGTGTGTTTGTGTGCTACTAAATAAGGCAAATGAAGTGCACACAATTACCGTAGTGTTTGTGGTGAAATCACATATTGAACTCCACTCTCAGGTCGACCCTCTCGGCGGATCCCCTAGTTTCATTCGTATTTGTAGTGTTTCTTCCTGAAATCGGAATGTTTAGTTTTTGGTGTCAAACGAAGGTCATTCAGGCAGGTTGTACTTTCTCTAATGAAATTCGTCGCATACAGATAATATCGGCGTAAATCTTTTACCTTCAGAGTATGAGCTACTTGGAGTGCCTCCTCGTCTCACGTCGTTTTTGCGCCAGCTATGGAATCTTTCTCTCGGAGACTTGATGAAACCCTGGCACACCTCATTCCAACGCTATTAAGGGGGGAAAATAGTGAAGGATTGCCATATCACGTGATATCTGTATGCCCGGAACAAAATGTGACATTTCCGATTTGTCACAGAGAAATGATTGGACTGTGAAAATGTCCTCTGGGACCAGATAAGCGTGAGCTTGCGAGAAATTAGCATAATCAAAATTGGAATTCGTGAAGTAAAAAGCTACCCAACTGTTTCCACACTGTCGTCGATAGCGCGAATCCTATGGACCACACTCCGAATCGATTCGGGGATCTCACAGGTCACGTGAAGATGCTACGCGTTCGAGCACAGGGAAACTGATTAAACTGTTATCTGTTCACGATTTCGCACTAAGCATTCTTGTACTGCGCGCTATACTCTTCGATTACCTTAGCACCAGCCTCCAGGAGTTGTCTCGGTTAGAAATGTTCTCAATTCAATTATTTTTCACTTTTGTTTTGTTTTGCATGCAATGATTTCCAGGCAATAAAATTTTTTAAATCCATCGGTTTCTGATGCTAGAGAGTAATGGTATGCTGATTCGGTATCAGTTTCAAGGCTCGCAACGGGGAAAGTCAGCTTGATACTACCAAGTCTGAACTTTGTTCTTACGGACAAGCATTAGGCTACGACCAACGGTGCTGTACACCATCGGGCGTTTTTTCTTGTGACAAATAGACTAACGACCACTTCAGTGCTTCATTGAATAAGCAATCACGGACGATTATCTGTGTCGCCTGACCGCGTGGCTTGATTTCGCTCGTCTTGTGCTGTCTGCAAAGTGTTCCAACTCTGGGTTAGTCCATCTCCCAGTCTAGTCGTTACTGGAGAAACAAAAGAGAATGTAGATGAATTTCCCTTCCTGGACAGCTGAATCTGACCTGATCTGGCATGCATGCATACAGAAGGTCATATTTTCGTTTACCGCAGAGCGACATCTGGCTGTTTGTGCACGTTGCACCTGTCCGACCGGCTCTCCTGTGTGACACAGAGACCTGGCCTTGATAAGAGAAGCATAAAGAAGACATTGTTCGAACATCGCAGTATGCGTCGTAATACACGACTGTGTGATGGAGTAACCAGATAATCAATGTTGAAATAAGATGCAGAGTTTCAATTAATTCCAGTCGCGCACCAAAATCAGAGCGTCAACTCTGTAGATTGCGATAGCTGAGGAGTGTGTTACTCGTGTCAGCGTATAGACTTCCTTGGTATGATGTGCTTGCCGAGATAGGTGGTGGATGAAGGAAGATTAATCTTTGCAAACTAAGACCGCGCATGGTGTGGTTGGCCCCAACAGGGGACATGGTCATTAAATTCGTATTCGAATTCCGAGACTTCATGATGATCAAATCAATTGTTACAGTCGCTGAGAGGGGAGGGGGGGGTTGAGTCTTTGGTCTTTATCATTTTACTGCCTTTTATTGAATAGTCAACGATACAATTTTCAGAAAGTTCGCAGCAACCAATCAGAGGGCTACCATACAACGCACAGAGAATGGGGGAAGTCAGGAGATGATGACTTGGTGATGCTACCACCGATCCACTATCGCTCATAGTTATACAGTCAAACTCATGCATCTATTCAATATGTAGCAAATCTAGTTTATTTGCATTATGTAACTTAAACCGGACACCGCTCTCAGCTTTCCATCATTCCGCCTACCTCGTCATTGTTTGACCACACAGACGGCCAAAAAGTTACAACCAAATACTAAACACTTCGGAGCAAAGTTAGTGATTGTCTAAATGTACATCAAAAAGGAGAAAGTGAGCGTTGAGTGATAGTACATATTATAGCATTTTTATATACAATGCAAATCACGGTAAACTAATTTTTGTAACTAAGAGATTGGTCCTTGAATTGCTAGTGAACAGGATAATGCCAGGTTGCCCGTATCCAAGGTAAGGAATTTTCTTGGAGGGTTCACAGTCGGAGCTTTAGGTTAGTTAAAGCTTGATTCAAAAGGTAGCGGGGCGGTTTTCAGTCCATCGATCATACGCCCTGTGAACGAGGTCAGATGTTCAAGGTGTCCAATACACCTGGAGGTGTAAATTGAACTGAACTCTGAAACCGAAAGCCTCCTATGTCCGTTTCCAAGCATCTTGGTTCACTAAAATTTCCTCATTTTCTATTCAACTCTACTTTCAACCTTCCTGTCTCTGTCCTACTGTTCATCAAAATGGGCGGCCAATAGGCAGCAACCAAAACCGGTGCACGAAAGTGCATGGTTATTGGTTGTACAAACTGAAACTGGAAAACTGAATTTTCCGCTTGAATTTGCTCTCAACATTCTAATTTTCATTCTGTTCTTTTATCCAAATGGCGGCTAAAACACAACAACCAAAGTCGGCGCACAAAATTGTAGGGCTAATGGTTGTAAAAACTGAAACTGAAAAAACAAGGCATCCTCATGTGCTTGGCTTTGGCACGCCACTAAACGTGGTCAATAATCGGTCGGTTTTTAGGTATCGCTTTGTTAAATACCGGTCGGGG